CTGCTAACATCTGCTAACACCTGCTAACACCTGCTGGTGGCTGCTGCTAACATCTGCTAACACCTGCTAACACCTGCTGGTGGTTGGTAACTTAAATTGTGCAGAAGACCTTAAAAATGTACAACAGATAATCAGCATCTTGTCCTATATAAGTGTTTTATTCTTTAGTTTTCACTTCAGAAATGAATTTGTGCAAAACTTACTATTATAACTTATTGTCAATATCGATATTATTATATTGTTATTCAAAACAGTATGTGTGTATAGTTTTTATTATTTGACAGCAGAGAAAACTCATCAGACAGAAGATGTAAAATGTTGAGATGCTCTTTTTAATTTCCAAACTCTGTTTAAATAGCTCTGTGACTTGACACTCACACACACATGTACTCACTCATGTACTCACACACGCACACAACACACACACACACACACACACACACACACACTATAGTTCCTACTCTGCAGCTGTTTAACATCTGGGACATTGTCGTTATCAGAGCTCAGTTTATTAGATTTTAATGTGTTTGATGTCAAAGTGTTGCCTCACATGGTTCTTCATAAAAAACACAGCGCCACAGGAAGTGGGCGTCGTTTTTGGTGACATGGCTCCTGAATGAGCCCCCCCACTCTCTCTCATGCAGGAATTATTCAGTGATGGAAAAAAACCTCTTTCAAGTCCTTCGAGCGTTAATGATCCAGATCAAAAAGAAAAAAAAGGACTCGGTCTGTTCGTCTCCTCCTGTGAGAATCTCACAACCTGGAACAGAAACAGGAAATAAGATCAACCTTTTCTATTTGTGACTCGAACTCATGAGTTGTGGATCGAAGATGTGTGGACATCTCTAGAGTTGTCAGAAAATCAGTGAATGAGAAATAATCATCTATTAACATTGAATTTTTTAAAGAGATTGAAACAGATTCTATTTATTTATTTATTTGTTTACTGACCGTGTCTGATGTCACGGCTGCTCCTCGTTTCCTGTGCTGGGCGTTCGGTTGCGGATTTGACTCCTCAGCTGTTCAATGAGTTCGGGGTTCTGCTGCTGCATCTGCTGAGCGAACTGCTGACCTCTGCAACGCAGAACCACAAGAACATCTGAGCACGTCAGCAAATCATCTCCACCTGACAGAATGCATGCTGGGAAAAATCTGAGTCAGGTACGTACGCCTGGATCAGTCCTGATAAATCTCCGGCTCCAGCTGCTCCAGGGACTGCAGCTCCTGCTCCGACTCCTGCTCCAGCTCCTGCTCCGACCCCTGCTCCAGCTCCTGCTCCCACTCCTGCTCCCACTCCTGCTCCCACTCCTGCTCCAACTCCTGCTCCAGCTCCACCTCCTGCCCCACCTCCTGCCCCTACTCCCCCCATTCCGCCGTATGCTCCGGACATCATCCCTGACATCCTGGAAGAGAGCGAGCAGACGAGACATTAACTTTGAGAAACACACTTGTAGCTTTTTGAAGCTAATGTACTGACATGATTGTTGTTGTTCTGGTTTGTTCCCTCGTGGTTGATGCACTTATTTTAAGTCGCTTTAGATAAAAACGTCAAATGATACGTAATGTTTAAAATGTAAAAATCAACGACTAGAGGAGAAAACAAACTTACAGCTGCTGAACCTGAGGGTTGTTCATCAGAGACGACGCCTGCAGAGACACACACACACACACACACACTCAGTCAATCAAGTGCAAACATCTCCACCACTTCCACTGCAGCTCAGACATGGTGTCACAACAATCAGCTGGAAGAAATAAATAACGACAGGACACCAGAGATACTTTAACCCTCAGCTTGATTAAAGTGAGTCTGATGAGTGAACGTGGAGAACGTTCCTCCTTCGCTCCCTGAGCGTCTGTTCTCTCACTCTGCTGAGTGGGTTCATCTCCTGAGAGAAGTGACTGAGAGTCTCCATCAGCTCCAGTGGAAGAGTGAAGCTGAACTGAGATCAGTTCTTAACAACCAGAGTTTAGTGGATTTGTTACAGCAGCAGCTCTTCTGGTTCAGAACAACACACAAAGGGTTAGGGGGGTGAATGTCGCAGCTTTGACAGAACCAGAGTTTTCTCACCATGTTCATGAAGCCGGGGTTACTGAGCAAACCAGCCAGGTCGACTCCACCCATCCCTGCTGTCTGAGAGAGGAGACAGAGACGTGAATACAACATCCATCAGAAACTCGCTGCTCACACTCAGTGTCGTCTCCTCTTACTGGACTGGACGTATCCATCTTCTCCTCCGCGATCTTCAGGTTGGTTTTATACGTGTCGTTGTCGGGGTCCAGCTCCAGAGCTTTTTTATAGTAAGTTGCTGCTTCTGTGTGTTTGTTGAGGCTCGCAAGAGCCAGACTGAAATATAACGACACGA